TCCTAGAACACTTCATCCCCTTGTGTTTACACTTACTGGGCTGCTCTTGTGTTTGAGGCACAGAGATAGGTGCTAAAGATACAGGATGAAGTGTCATTTCAGGCAGCAGTGCACAGTTCATGATCGATAGGTGGATAGATAGAGACATCTGTCATAGTGTGGTATTTATAATGATTGAAGCATGGACACAGTGCTGCTTTGGAAAGTCAGAAAAGTTGTCTTCAAAGAGAGGATGTGTGACTTGTCTCGAGTAATAAGTAAGGCCTCAGCAAAGGGATAGGATTGGAGGGGACATTCTCAACTTCGGGCAAAGGTTGTGGTGTATTTAGCAAAGGGTGAGAATGTTACTGGAATAGAGCACAGGGGGGACCAAAGGGGAGGATGGGCAGTAACATTGGAAGGAGACAATTATTTTATAAATACAAGATCCTAGGAATACCAGGAAGTATTGGCCATCATATGTGTGTAATTCATAAAAGGAGCAGAAGATTTAGAGCAGGCACCGACACGCATCTTAGTCTTAGTTGCAAACTTATACAAGTGCATCAAGGAAGCCATGCCTTAGACATGGATTCTACTGATTCAATGAGGTTTGGACCCGCTCACATCTAAACCAAGATCACAGACTCCCTTGCCTACAAAGCCTTGTGGGCACCACAAACGAGTGTGTTAGGCTGGTGGGGACTGTGCAAAATGGAAAGTTTACACCCATATAAAGAGAGAACTAATTCTAAGAAAGGAAAGATAAGACCCACAACTTGTCAAATAAAACACGTCTGTGGGTCCTGTCTACCCGTGACACCCCTGAAGAGTTGAGGTCACTTAAGGTGTATCATCTCTCTTCCAAAATCATCAAATAAAGAACATTTTGACCAATTGGAATAAGCGACTAATCTGGATTTGAGTAGCTCAATTGAAGTTCCTAGTTCTTTCTACGTGTCTAGGGGAAGCAGACGCTGGTCATCTGATGGTTTTTAGTCTCCATCAGGACAATGTGATTAATACCCAGAAGACACACTCCGGAGTGATGTAGCCAAAGCCCACGCCTCCTTGGAGGGACCCACCCCACCAGGACCCAGCCATGTTAATCTGGACCAGGAGGGAAAGTGGGGAAGGGAAAAGAGATAAAGAGGATTAAACACCCACAGCTGGACAAGGACAGACTTGAAGGCTCAACTGCGAAGTGGAGAAAGCAGAAAGCCCCTACAGGCGGGCCCGCACAGCGCACAGTGCTCTGTGATGATTTGCTTCGCCGGTCCAGCCTGCTGGTGACCCTGAGTGCTCACTGCTGAGTCCTAATTGAACCACCAGCCCCTTCCTGCTTTGGAAGTAATGTGCGTTAGGAAAATCAATCCATTTGTAGGGGGAGAAACCAGCCTGGCTTCCTGCTACTGCTCATGTTTTCACTAAAACCCCATTTTACTGGAACCAACATTGAAAAAAACCAGCACATTTTATTCAAAACAAGGCGATATTGGTATTGACAGAGCTGCAGTGATAATGAGGAAGATCAATTTTCCCTCATCCATTATGGGGTATCGGGCAGTTTTGGAGTAAACTTGTGGCGTCGTTAGACAAGATCAGCATTTCTATTTCTCCCTTTTGAAAACTTTTTCTTTTATTCTTTTTTTTTTTTGCATATTTAGATTTTAAATATTCCTGCTCTGATGAGAAAAAAAAAAAGCAAAAACAATGACAACAGAAAAGAAAGCCAAAAGTCCCCAAAGCAATAAGCGAAGAGCTGGTAATAAAAACTGGAGATCGTAGACATTTCTTTTTAATTTTATTAATAATACATCACGATGTTATTTTTGCATCTTGCTTCATGCAGACTGTCTCCCCAACTCTCACCCCAAATTAAAAGACCGCAGTTACCAAGTAATCCAAGTTCTGGGAGAGGAAGAGTTCTAGGCAAGAGGGTGGAAGCGG